ACCCCAAGCCAATCCGTACCAAGTTTAGTCTGTTGAGTCTTTTGTCCATCCTTGGCTACCTTAGGACCTGTGGACTTCAACTCCCAGAATGCCCCAGCCAGCATGGCTGGCTGGGGAATTCTGGGAGTTGAAGTCCATAGATCTAAAGTTGTTCAAAGCGACCACCAATGGTTACTTCCGGTCAGATGCCCCACGGAAAAGACAGCCCCAAAGAGGCATGGGCTGCCTGTGGGGCATCAACAGCTCACATCACGGTGGGGGTCCCTCCCGTTGCCCCCCCTCCTCCCACCCCCATATTCCAGGCCCTGCAATTTTGCCAGTGCCGAGTGGCACCGTCTTATAATGGATGGCGCCTGAATCTCCATTGGCGACACCCCACTGTGGATGGCATCGTCTTATGGTGGGGAAGCCTCTGCAATGCAGGGTTGGGCTCCGAATTGATTCAGTCTGGGCGCTTGGGGGAGGGGGAGAGAGGGAGGGTGGGAGGAAGGAAGGAAGGAAGGAAGGAAGGAAGGAAGGAGAGCGAGAGTGTGTGTGTGTGTGTGAGAGAGAGAGAGAGAGACAAAGAAAGAAAGAGAGAGAGAGAAAGAAAGAGAGAGAAAGAGAGAGAGAGAGAGAGAGAGAGAGAGAAAGAAAGAGAGAGACAGAGAAAGAAAGAGAGAGAGAGAGAGAGAAAGAGAGAGAGAGAGAAAGAGAGAGAGAAAGAAAGAGAGAGAGACAGAGAAAGAGAGAGAGAGAAAGAAAGAAAGAAAGAAAGAAAGAAAGAAAGAAAGAAAGAAAGAAAGAAAGAAGTCCATAGATCTAAAGTTGTTCAAAGCGACCACCACTGGGGCAGACTTTCTATTGGGGCGGCATCCAGTGGTTACTTCCACTGGATGGAGGAGCAGGGAGGGAGGAAGAGGAAAGAAGGAAGGAAGGAGAGAGGGAGGGAGAGAGAGAAAAGAAAGTTAGAAAGAAATGGAGAGAAGGAAAGAAGAGAGGAAGGAAATGGATGAGAAGAAAGAGAAAAGAAACAAAGAAAGCAGGGAGGGAGGAAGAGGATGGAAGGAAGGAGAGGGAGTGAAAAAAGAGAAAGAAAAAAGAAAGATAGAAAGAAATGGAGAAAAGGAAAGAAGAGAGGAAGGAAATGGGTGAGAAGAAAGAAAAGAAAGAAAGAAAAGCAAATGGAGAGGAGGAAAAGAAGAGAGGAAGGCAACGGTTGAGCAGAAAAAAAAAAGAGAAAGAAAGAAAGAGGAAGAAAGAAAGAACAGGGAGGGAGAGAAGGGGGGAAGGAAGAAATCCCAGGCTAGATCTACTTTTTTTGGCCCAGCACAGTTACAGGCACACGGATTGTTAGTTCCAAACCACCTGTGGTGACATTAGTCAGGAACCCAGAGGTCATTTAGTCCACCCCAGTCTGAAGTAGAATCAGCCTATCCTCAAACACAGACCCCGGCGCCCCCATCCTGAAGGATTGCAATAACTGGACCACGGAAGCGGAAGGAAGCCCCCCATCCACACAACCCAAGGCCTGTAAATAAGATTATCCCCGGCTTCCCCAGCATTATGGGAACAAGGGTCCCTCCGATGAAGCTGATGGGTTGATGGGTCAGGTAACCCCAGAAGATGCCTGGCTGCTGTCCTAAGCTGGCTGGAGCAGAGGGTGGACTAGAAGACCTCCCAAGTCCCTTCCACCTCTGTTGTTCTGTACTGTTGTGTTCTGTTCCATTCCATTCTATATTTTTTTCCTATTCTTATTCCTACCTTCTATTCTATTTATGTTCTGTTCTGTTCTGTTGTTCTGTTCTGTTTCTGTTCTGTTCCGTTCTGTTCTTATTCCTCAAACCGCGATCTTCCCGCAACCGACTTAACCCGGCGCCTAAACTCCCCCCCCCC